TGAAGTTCCCTTGTATGAATTTTTGATGGTCTCATGTGGCAGTTTGTTTCCTCTTCTGTAGTTTCTAATTTCATCCTCTACTTCATAATTCTGGCTGATAAGTAGTATTTGTCAGTCCTTTATCAGTAGATATAGCCCCTTTGACTTAAGTTGTGTGTGTTTTTCTGTAAAGTTATTATATTTGCTTTTGACTGTTATCAGGCAAAGCCAACTTTTATGTTAATTTCTGACTTGGAGATTTTGTATCCCATAGAAAATACAACAAAATCCCACACCCAGTTTGAAAGCAAATCATTGAGTAGTTAGTAGCAGCTAAACCACTAGTTTAGCTACTACTACAAACCATTCAGTTCAGTTCAGTGGCTCAGTCGTGTCCAACTCTTTGCGACCCCATTAACCACAGCACGCCAGGCCTCCCTGTCCATCACCAACTCCCGGAGTCCACCCAAACCCATGTCCATTGAGTCGGAGATGCCATCCAACCATCTCATCCTCTGTCGTCCCCTGCTCCTCCTGCCCCCAGTCCCACCCAATATCAGGGTCTTTTCTAATGAGTCGGCTCTTCCCATCAGGTGGCCAAAGTATTGAAGTTTCAGCTTCAACATCAGTCCTACCAATGAATACCCGGGACTGATCTCCTTTAGGATGGACTGGTTGGATCTCCTTGCAGTCCAAGGGACTCTCAAGAGTCTTCTCCAACACCACAGTTCAAAAGCATCAATTCTTCGGCGCTCGGCTTTCTTTATAGTCCAACTCTCATATCCATACATGACCACTGGAAAAACCATAGCCTTGACTAGACAGACCTTTGTTGACAAAGTAATGTCTCTGCTTTTTAATATGCTGTCTAGGTTGTTCATAACTTTCCTTCCAAGGAGTAAGCGTCTTTTAATTTCATGGCTGCAATCACCATCTGCAGTGATTTTGGAGCCCAGAAAAATAAAGTCAGCCACTGTGTCCACTGTTTCTCCATCTATTTGCCATGAAGTGATGGGACCAGATGCTATGATCTTAGTTTTCTGAATGTTGAGCTTTAAGCCAACTTTTTCACTCTCCTCTTTCACTTTCATTAACAGGCTCTTTAGTTCTTCTTCACTTTCTGCCATAAGGGCTCTATCATCTGCATATCTGAGGTTATTGATATTTCTCCCAGCAATCTTGATTCCAGCTTGTGCTTCATCCAGCCCAGCATTTCTCATGCTGTACTCTGCATATAAGTTAAATAAGCAGGGTGACAATATACAGCCTTCATGTACTCCTTTTCCTATTTGGAACCAGTCTGTTGTTCCATGTCCAGTTCTAACTGTTGCTTCCTGACCTGCATACAGGTTTCTCAAGAGGCAGGTCAGGTGGTCTGGTATTCCCATTTCTTTCAGAATTTTCCACAGTTTATTGTGAGCCACACCATTAGTAGTAGCTAATATTTGGTTTGTAATGTTCATTTTTAGCATCTTTTTATCCTTGTCTTCCTTTTGCTTTTTATTTCTTTCTTGTTGAAACATAGCTACACAAGATCTTTGCTCTGTTATATTCAGTTAGGTGATTTTTAGCAGGAGGATTTTCCAGAATATCTGGTACATCATATGGTTGCAAATGGGAAATCTTTTTCTGTATTTTTAAGTGTCATTTCTGTCCTCTATTTCCATCTTATGTGCTTTTATCAGTTAGAAATATACTACTATAAAAACCTTAATGTGACAGTTAAATCTCTAATAAGTTTAAAACCTGAATTATAAATTATCTTTAATCTTTCTTCTAAAGAATCTAGTGTTCCAGTGCAGGTTTTGTTTCCTGTGGAACAACTACCGCTTCAGTGACCAACTCAGTGAAGAGTTGATCCTTTTGCCTGTTGCTTCAGGACTCATGTAGACTCTCCATTGCAAAGTTAAATTTTTCTTTATTGTAAAGTTCTAGGATTGGTTATGCTTCTTAGGAGTGGATTCCACCTTCCAAGGAATTCCAACTGTTGTATAACCTTATACTTTCCTTCCTGATCTGAGTGTGTATACATCATTTGTGTTGGTGTTCCTACCATGAGGGGGATGACTTTGTGTTTTCATTTAATCTTCTTCAACAGTTAAGAGGGACATTCTCCTGTAAGATAGGGACTTTGGAACATCCTCCTGTAAGGTCTGGACACCCTGCCTCTCATGTGCTCACTAAGCACCAGGGTCACCAGTTTTTTCTGTGCAAATTCCCAGTTCTTCCATTTCATTCAAGATACCTTAAGCCTCTGTCTCCTTTTCTTTTGCTTTTTGTTTAGTTTTGCTTCTTAATTCCAGTCCTATTTGATGCCTCTAGTCATTTTCCAAAGAGATTCCCAAATACAGGTGTTAACCAGAGTTTTCCAAGAGATTCTGTCTTAGAAGTGTATTGTTTGTAATAGCTGGAACAAAATGAATTATCCCCTCATGGTTATTGGAGCTCCAGTCTAAATCTCATCCTGTATAATGTATTTTTTGCCTGTCCTAGGAGCTCCATAATTTTAAGTAGTTATTGCTTTCTGGGCTTGCTGGACTAATGTAGTGCAAATATTAAAAGCCTTCGTAGTCACCTTATTTAGTACCTAACTTGGCATGATCATAGCAACAGATTATGGTACTCAAATGAAGCTGTTCAACTTCCCCATGCAGAACTTTATATATTTTACTATATATATACACATATGTATTTAATGATTTCTTGTTCTAGTCCTGTAATCAATAGCAATAACTATAGAACATATTCCTTCCACATATGTTTAATCATTCTGTAAAGTTTGAAGGTAGGGGGTGAAGGGAATAGTAGCTTAGGCTAGGCATTATGATGTTTGTTCTGTAGTATTAATTCATTTTTTTTTTTTTTGCTCCACAGTATTAATTCTTCATATCTTAAATTAGGTGATTAAACTATGAAGAATTTCTATAATCATGGCTTGTTCTTATATCATCCAAATTGGTCCAGAAATTTTTGCTTTAAAATCTTTCATTCTTACCCAACTCAGAGAATTCCCCAATTTCACCCTTTATTAGGTACAGTTGACCCTTGTCAACCATCAACATACTCATTATTTAAAAAATTGAGTCAATGATTCAAGTAATTTACTTTCTTTCCATTTCTACCAAATCAGATATTTATCCTCATTCTGCTTTTTAGAAGGAAAACAAGAAACAGAAATCTGATTTGCATAATTGTTTTTGATCATCAAGCCCAGTTTTCCAGATCTAGTTTCATTGTTGTTGTTTTCTGCATAGAATGTTAGGAAGCTAAGTGGTTATGAGTGTGTCTCCTGAAAATTTTATCTGTAGTCTTGTGCTTCCTGGTAGGTCAGATGGTAAAGAGTCTGCTTGCAGTGCAGGAGACCTGGGTTTGATCCCTGGGTCTGGGAGATCCCCTGGAGAAGGAAATGGCAACCCACTCCAGTATTCTTGCCTGGGAAATCCCCTGGATGGAGCAGCCTGTCAGGCTACAATCCATGGTCTCGCAAAGAGTTGGACAGGACTGAGCGACTAACACTTTCACTTGCACCTGTTAGCTCAGCTGGTAAAGAATCCACCTGCAATGCAGGAGAGCCCAGTTCGGCTCCTGGGTCAGAAAGATCCGCTGGAGAAGGGACAAGCTCCCCACTCCAGTATTCCTGGGCTTCCCTGGTGGCTCAGCTGGTAGTGAATCTGCCTTCAGTGAGGAAGACCTGGGCTCGATCCCTGGGTTGGGAAGGGAACGGCTTCCCCCAGCTCCACTGTTACAGCCTGGAGAATTCCATGGACCTGTATAGTATGGGGCTGCAAAGAGTTGGATACGACTGAGCAACTTTCACTCACTATTTAAATATAGTTAATTATATACCAGACTTGTAGCTAATTAATTTGTAAGCACTTCCTTAACTAAAAATAAGTAGCAGCAAATTTGACAGAATTTATTAGAAATACAAGAAAACCATGTAGACTGTAAAAATGTAGTAATTTAGTAATAGACTGATTGAATATAGTATACTGAAAAACATTTTTACAATCACTTGTAGAGATTTTCATGGCAGGGATATAAATTGTAAGATATCTGAGGAAGTCAGTAGGTTGAGATACACCGTTAGTGGTTATAGATCAACATGAGTTCCTTCATCCCTGCTTCTTACTGTGCATGTTAGTGTAGAAGAACTTAGAGGTGTATGTTAGCATAGAAGAACTGAGCCGAACTAACTGACTTACAGAGGGTGTTAACTCATGACCATACCTCATGCTTCACCAGGTAAAGCTTACTAGTCACTGAAAAGTATAAGCCTCTCCTTACTTTTAGGAGTCAAGACAGAATAATTATTATAAGTAAAAAGGTAGTTAATTATAGGTCAGAATTGCGCCTTAATTATTTTGTAAATTTGATTTTTGAAACAGAGCTAGAAGTTTTGACATGGGCTGTATTCCCTCTTGTTTTTAAACCTAATTTTTCTTTAGTGAAAGAGTAGAGCAGATACCTCAGCGTATGCTTCTTAAAGATTCTTAAAGTACATTTTTTTAAGAACATTTAATTGTTAGAGTACATTTCTGAAAGTACATTTCATTTCAAAGAACTGTCTTATTTTTGCTCTTATGCCATAAATAAGCTACAGTGCAGGAGACCCGAGTTTGATCCCTGGATCAGGAAGATTTCCTGAAGAAGGGAATTCTCCCCACTTCAGTATTCTTCCCTTGAGAATTCCTTGGACAGAAGAGCCTTGCAGGCTACAGTCTGTGGGGGCGCAAAGAGTCAGACATGACTTAGTGACTGTAACACTTTCACATATTATTCAAAACCAAAGAGACCAAAAAGTTTGGCTATATATTGAGATATTTTCTCTGTGTTGTATTTAGAAATATTTGAGGTTTTTAGTTGGAATCGTTTCAGTTTTATAGGTGCTATTTATAACCTTTGAATTCAGAAAAAATAAGGACCTTGAGAATTTTTCCTGTTTCTAAAAACATATGAATCCTTATTCTAAAATTTACATTTATGCAAAAATAATTTTTCATACTGCATTTCTGTCTCAGGCTAAAAATCTCATAGAGCGGTTTTTTAATCAACAAGTGGAAGTTTTGGGCAGACGTGCAGAGCCATTGCCTGAGATATACTATATTGAAGGTACCCTCCAAATGGTTTGGATTAATCGCTGCTTTCCAGGGTATGGAATGAATATCCTGAAACACCCACGATGTCCTGAGTGCTGTGGTATGTAATGAAATCTGATTTTATGATTTATTCTCTTATCTTCATTATGCCTAACTGAATGTCTCTTACTTATATTTACTGTCATTTAGGTTTGAAGTAGTGTGTTTGAAAAGACTCAGCCTGAAGATTTAAAAGAAAATGTCTGGCTTAATTCTGGCCTTGTTTTAACATTAAAGAGGGGTTGGGGCATCAGGCAGTTGTCTGGGAGGAAAAACAAATGCTAGTTATGATACACCTAGAGTTACTTAGCAGCCAAACTATATTTATTTTAGAACCAGTTTTTGAGGAGTTTACATTCATATAGCCTAGGTTAGGTACCTTTTTACTTTAAAAAAGTGAGTGTAAGAGTTGCTTTCCTCCCAGTCTCCCTGCTGGCCTTTGATCCTCCCACTGAAGGGTCTGGGCTGCTGTCTGGCTTTGCTCCGTTGTGTTCTCTTACTGAAGCATCTGGAGAGGCTGTTGGCATGAGGATATGGATGCCAAGGTCTTTGAATTTCTATTTTCAGTTGTTGATTGAGCCAATTAATCCTCAAAGACTTTCTAATAAAAATACCACTAAATTAGTACCATTTTCCAAGTCTCTGTTTTTTCCCCTTCTCTTCGGTTGTCTTATGTTAGATTAAAAAGCCGTTCATTTGATAGAGCTCTAAATATTATTTTTACTTTGCTTTACTTAACTTGGTTAGATTTTGCTCTATTTTTTCATAACTTTGTTTTTGTTTAGGGATATGAATTTTGACAAAATGTACTGAAAATTTGTCTTAGGAAATACAAATTTAACAAATAACACACTTACAAGTACCAACCTAGTGACTGTTTTATGAATCTGTGCTTACATACGTCACTAGAGCCCAGAAAATGATGAAGAAAAGCCTAGGAATGCCAAACAGTGAAAACAAAACCTGGTAGTTTTAGCTGTCTATTAAATGCATTTACATTATCCATCAATAAAGTCTTTTAAGACAAGCTAAAACATTTAAAGAGTTGTATATCATTAATTCCAAGAATTTGAAATAAATGTAGCTCTTTCGTGTGAAATAATAGGTTTCATCATAATTATTATTGTGATAATAATAATTTCATCATTAATTGTTTTGCATTTATAAAAGTTCAGATAGCATAATTTTCAGGTATTCTCATTTTACCATGTAATTATAACATTCAAGTAATTATGTGTTATAGGTTTGATTAGGTTCATTAAGCACCTCTCTTATTCTTGACAACAGACACCATGGGAAATATAGATAAAATATGTGTAGAGCTCTAAAATACTTCCTGGCTCTGATGCTCTCCCACATGTGTGTCTGGGCCCACAGAGCTTAGCAATACAGGAGATTATAGCCAGGAAACAATTAGTGAACAAGAGACCACCACACCACAGGGAAAAGAGCAGAAAGGAGGTTATGTAAAGCAAGCCAAATTAGAGATAGAATGGATCCTAAAGGATTAATGTAATTGGCAAAAAGGCTTTCTGAATGATTTGACACTTGAGGTAGGACTCTGAAGATACAGGCTTAGCAGGTACCACCCAAGCAAGGGCAAGATTGAGCTTCAGATTTCTGGGGGGATTTCACTTGACTGGGGCTAGAGGATTAGTATCCGAAGGGCATGGCAGGCTTTGAGAGCAAAGTGGGAGAATTCGAATTTAATGTGGCAGTATGAGCCGTATCTCTGAATAGAGGAGAGGAATGGCATTTATTTCTTGAATTTTATGGCATCATTATCATTGCTCAGTATACTTACCAACTAATGATTTGTTATATTTCAATTTGTGTCATTCAATGATAAATATTTTAATTTAGATTACTTTTGTGTTATCATCATCTCTGTTAGACTACTTAAGCAAGATTGAGCTCCCTTTTTTGCACAGAACTCATTAAGTACAGTGTTACCTTCAAGTCCTCATCACATACAGTTATTTTTGTCTATATCATATGAGGCTATCATTCTAAAAATTTTAAAGAGCACATGCTACTCAGAAACACACTTTGTTCTGCAAATTAAAAGACTGTAAAATGCAATGGACTTCCCTGGTGGCTCAGTGGTGAAGAATCCACATGGAATGCACGAGATTCGGGTTTGACCATTGGATTGGGAAGATTCCCTGGAGAAAAAATGGCAGTTCACTCTAGTATTCTTGCCTGGGAAATCCCATGGGCAGAAGAGCCTGCGTCCGTGGGGTCACAAAAGAGTAAGACCCAACTTAATGACTAAACAACAACAACATAAAATACAGTATATACAAGACAAAATTAACATATTCAATGAACTTAAAATCCATTCAAGTGTGAAATGAAATACTAGATAGAGAAAAAGAAAAGGAAATACTAGATAGAAGCACATAAAATGAATGAGGTACTGTGTAAAATAACTTACTTCCAAAATGAAGACACTCTATGTTCAGCACAGATTGAGATAAGCAGATCTATTATGTGAGTTTCTTTACTTTCTCAGCAGTCGGTTAAGTAAACAGAGATGTTTTTGGATATCTTCCTTTACTCATTTAATTTTCACATCTAGACCACAGATAAAGATTGTTTGCTTATAAGCCTGGAAACTTAACTTTTTTACCTCTACTATTTTATCATTTCTAGTTAACTTAGCATTTTAAATTGATTTTTACTAAAAAGCTGAAACTTCACATTTAGCCTTGCTTATTATATGCATCATTTTGTCTATCATTTTCACGTGAATAATGAAGAAGTTCTAATTTGTGAATTATAGATATCTCACAGTTTCATAAATTATATCATAAAAATACTACAACCAAAGTCCAGCTGGAATATTATACTGTTTCTGATAGAATTTTTTTACAATCCAGATTCTAAAATAGGTTTTACTGTGTAATTTCTGTGGTTTCTATTATTTCTATAAGACTCTGTATATCTTATTTTCCTCTTTATTTTATTCCTATTTAACCTCATCAAATAGCATTTTTGGACATAATATCCCACTCCTCCTTTTTCCTCTTCTTTAAACTATGGCAATATCTTAAAGTTACCTGAAGATCTTCTCAAAAATATGTCCAAGGTACAGGAGCCAGTCAGCCACATCTGTAAGTGTCTAGGTGAGTTGATGCACACGGAAGTTCGAGCCCACTGAACGCTGGTGCTAGTGAAGCAGCCCCTCAATAGGCTGCCTTCCCCTGCGGAAGCAGGAGGCGGGTTCTCACTGGCTACAGTGGGTGGGCACGCGGAGCTCTGATACTTCATGCAGCATACTGTTTCCTGTCACTTTCCTTATAAATGAGGCTTGCTGTCGCACACCCAGAGCTTTGGGGAGCCCTAGGAAGCTTTGGCAAGATTATCATGGTGACAAATGTCTGTCTCAGTAGTTAGAAGTAATTAGCTTACAGGTTAAGCGTTGGGTAATTTTATTAATAAAGTCTGCTTTCACAGTGAAAGTGAATTATTTAGGAGATATAGTTGTTTTTAATAAAATATTTTAGACTCTAAAAATTTATTCTGTTCAGACATGTAACTTTGAACTGTTATTTTAATTTTATATCCAAGCACCAAGAAAAATAATAACGAAAAAAGCTGATGTCAGCAAAGCAAACTTTAAGGCAAGAAGTCTTATTAGTTGCACAAGGAGGCTTTACATAGTGATGAAAGGATGGGTCTAATAAGAAGAGGTGACAATACAGTATTTCTGAATTTGTGAAGACTTAACATAGGTCTGAAATACATGAAAATTGTCAGGTAATACTGGCATATAAAGCAATATAGAAAAAATTAAGATTGGACTCAGCTAAAAAATAACTCACAGATATATTACAAACATAAATAGATCAAGAACTGTAAACATTTTAGAATATAACAAGGAAATATCATCACATCTTCAGCATCAGAAAAAGATAAAAAAAAAAAACACAAAAATCACTGATTTTTATTAAAAAAAGATTGTTAATTTTGTCTGCATAAAAATAAAGTACTTAACGTTTATCGAAAGATATTCCAAAGAGAAGATAATCCACAGAGTGGGAAATTTATTTGTAATGAATATAACCAGCAAAAGACTAGGTCATATAAAAAACCCATAGAAAACATTTTTGAAAAAGACAAGACAATTTTGAAAAAATGGAAAGAGGTTTGAACAAGTAATTCACAAGAGAGTAATTCCAGATGGTCAATGGATCCATGAAAATATGTTCAACCTTTTTGTAACCAGGGAAATGTAAATTAAAAACTAAATGAGATCCTACTACACAATTATCAGATGGGCAAAAAGTAAACAGTCTTAATATACTATATGTTCAAAAAGCTGTGGAGTCTTAGAGTACACTGCCTGAATGGATGTCCCTGGGGAAGCAGTTTGGCATTATTGTAAACGTGATAATGCACATACTCTATGATCTAGCATTTGACTCTCAGGAAAATTTCCTGACAGCATATTTTTTCATAGTTCCAAACTAGAGACAACCCAAATGTCCATTCATGTTAAAATGTACAAATAAAAGAGTGATATATTCATATAATGGGAGTGTTATATAGGAATGGCTATAATGAGTGAATGGGAATTACATCAGTGTGGATAAGTTTTATAAACATAACTGATGGAAAAGAACCTAATTAACCACAGTGGAATCCATACAGTTTGGCATAGCTGAACTCTGTTTTATAGAGATTTATTTATGAATGCTGAGAGCTAAGACTACAGTGCAGTTGACGGAAATTACCACCACGACACAGAAGACTAGAGCTGACTTGTGATGGGGACGGGAAATGAGTGGAGTGGGACCCAGGAGCAGTGTTGAGAGGTGGCAGGCTCCTATTTTATGTTTCTTAATTGTTTCTAGACAGGTCTTCTGTGCAAACATTCATTATGTTGTACAATTATATCTTATTTTGTGTGTGAGAGTTCATAATAAAAAGGTAAAATTTTAAAATTTTCCCTTAAAGCTTGAGCACCATTGTTAAAACGCTAATGGCATGCTAAAGAAAAACATTCACAAGTGTTTCCTTTCTGTAATAATTAAAATTTATTATTTGTGTATGGTA